GATATTGTCATAAAACTATGGAAACATATTAATATTTTTTTGGCAATTAAATTCTATTTAGGTGGATATTTGATCATCCATTACAACACATTCAGTGACTGAATGATATTTTGTCTTCACTAGGCCCAGACGACGCTAAAACTCCACCAGCATTGTTTCAAGATGTTTGTGTTTCCATTAATGCATGACCAGTTTTTTGTTTCCTGAAAACAATAAGCTATCAGAGTTTTCATCTGTTGATGTAATATAGTTACTAATATAAACAACTACAGCAACATTTATATGGTAACCCATGTACAGAGCGCTCAGTGACCACTAATGTCCAATATCAGGTGGATATCACATTTTTGGTGATTGTATGTTTATATATTGTTCTGTGACTTCTTAATACTGTTAATTTACCATAATAATATTATTCATAATATATAGATGTTGGTCAAATTTACATGTTCAAGCAATGCACCTTTAATATCTTAATAAGCACATTTGTTATTATTCAACTTTTCCAAGGTCTGACTGCTATTGACCTACTGGTATGTTCCCAGACGACTGTAAAACAAAAGTGTTTTTGTACAGTTCAAAATATGATTAGGCTGGAAAAAAGTTGTATGCTGGTGCATCTTTATACTGTATTCATAAAAGGTTGTAGATGATACCTCCATACAAATTGGTCTGAATATGTCTGGAAAGATGTGAGGGCCACAAAATCAGTGAAAATATTATGAGTGTTTGAGGGTGTTGAAGACGTTTCACCTCTCATCCAAGAGGCTTCATCATTCGTCTTCGACCTAAAAACCTAGTCCAGTTGATGTGTCAGCTTACTATGACCTGAGAATCTGCACGGACATGTTTGAGGATGTTGTTTTTCTCACTGATATAGGGACAGGTTTATGTGGGTCATGGCATGACACCAGACATCCTGCCAAGGTCACCTAGGTGCATTTTCTTTAAGAATGACAAAATACATGAAAACAATAGACAGCACATTTATCATCACTCCTTTACCAAAGATTGTACCAGTATTAACAATCGATTAATAACTGAATGAAGTACTGTATATAATAATATGCATCATCAGTCACATGGGCCACTTTTACTTTTGCTATTAATAATTCTGTGCTCAAAAAGAAGAAAATTAAATATAAGACTTTTACTTTAATGCAGTATATTTACATTGTTGCATTGTTAGAGTATGTCTTCCGCCCTTGCAGATTTGTATTGTCTAGTGCAACCTTTGGTCTAATAATGACACTAAAGGGAAATCTGTTTCTTTATTCTGTGCAAAACTTTTTTTGTGAGCTAAGCTGCTGGAATATTTTTCCTCACAGCTGTAACACATGAAAGGTGAGGCGGGGTCACCAAACCTATTGTAATTCACCCTTTGGAAGCCGTAACAAAAGTCATCTTAGTCAACTACTTGCTAATGCATCTCATTCTTAACCAAAGTTCTAGGCAGACAGACACATCAACCAGCTGACATCCTGGGATTGTATTTCCTAGTGCTGTTATGCTACAACAGCAGTGCAAATGATTCTGGTAATTAGAAATATATGGTGCTATTGTTCTGTCCAAATACATGTTTATTTTTGGATCATCTTGATTAATGAACAGCTTCACGGTTAGTCCTATTATAGCTGTAGAGGAAGTTGAGGGATTTTCTTTTTGCCTTCCAGTCCAAAGTTCATGTTGACAGATGCCGTAATTGCATTTGTGTGTTTACACTGTTATTCACTCACTCACAGCACCTGATATTCATGTTAACTGCAAACTAAAGAGTTTGCGTTTGATGTGACAAACATAGTAAGTAAGTAAGTAAAAATGTATTTATATAGCACTTTTCTAAACCAGATTTACAAGGTGCATCAACAATAAGAAAAAAGAAAATAACCACAAGATGGCAAACCACAACTTACAGTATATTCTTAAATCCAAAGGGAGCAAGCTCCTACAGACTGACAGCTGCAATTGTAAATGAATCTAAATGCTAGTAAGGTAAAGACCTCTCGATGCTTGGCACTTGCATACTAAATACATGCAAAATATTATTTTTACACTGTGATACAGTGTTTGGAACATGTGTAGGGCAGACCCAGAAACTATTTGCAGTTATATCACAAGAGCATACAAATAATACACTTATTCAACTAAAGATCACATTGGGTGGATCATGAGATCCTGTGGCAGATCACTGTAATGACAAGATTCCAAGAAAGGTAGATACTAAAATCCTTATTATTGCTGCAAAACAGATTCATTTAAAGTTTTTCATGTCACATGATTTCCAGCCAGGATCATGAGACTTGTTTCTTTTTACCTCTAAAAGATGTCTGGACTAAAAATCTAAAAACTCCGAGCCACAGTTCAAGGCATCTTCAAATCAAAGCCTCGCCACTGAATATTTTCCATCACAGCTGCCTCTGGATGACACAATAATAAAGTATAATTCAATATGGTGGAACACTTTGATCATAATAATGCCAACAAATACACTGTTCCAGTTCAGTTTTTACTTATTCTCAAGATAGTGTGACTTGATATATGCTACCAAAATATCCCCATGTCCCTTTTTTAGCTGATCAAAGTTAAATCCAAGCATTAAAATCTACTTTGGGGGCGGCTGTGGCTCAGGAGGTAGAGCGGGTCGTTTCCTAACCGGAGGATTAGCGGTTCGATTCCCGGCAGTCAACATGCCGAAGTGTCCTTGAGCAAGACACTGTACCCCCACTTGCTCCCGGTGATGTCACCGGTGTGTGTTTGGGAGTGCGAATGGGTGAATGGCCAAATAGTGTGAAAGCGCTTTGAGTGTGCTGTAAAGCACAGAAAGGCGCTATACAAGTATAAGACCATTCACCATTTACACCACAGACATATTTCACAGTGAGCTTTGAAGTTTGCGTGCACACAGTGATATTATAGACAGCATTTTCTCTATGAACACACACAGTCGTCAAAGCAGCAGTAAGAGCTTTTATAACATCTTCTCTTGGAGAGAAACAGTCACGTGTGAGACGTTCCACTCAACACCTCCAACCCCAAACTGAATGTTCATTGTAAAACATTATTTTCTATTTTGCATATAGCCAAGAGAGGGCAGCACAGCTCTGCAACCAGACCATCTGCTATTCAGTTTTTCCACATCCAAAGAGTTGCTTTTGCCAGGAACACTCTAACAAGGTCTCATGAGTCAGTGCATCTGACTGACAAGTAAACTATTAACTCAATATGACAGATCTCCTGGCATTGCTCAGTTGCATGCCTATTTCGTAAAGGAGCTAGAAGCTCAATTAAAATTGAATATCAGCTGAATTGAATCGAAATCTTTCTGAATCACACTGCATTGTGTTGTTACAAATTTAGCTGTAGCGTTTTTGTATTGAATCGTGGATCATGTATAAAGGTGCAGATCGAATCATGTGAGAGGGAGAGGTACACACTCCTACTGCTAATGAATTGTATTGTTTTTTTTTTTGCCACAAAGAAGAAAAAGGATCTAAGAGATGGAAGAATTTTACATGGTCATGCAATTAAAGCATCATGGACAGTTTACAACCAGCACTGAAAACATCATTCAATTATTTTAAATAATATTGCACATTTCTTCCACACTAAACAATGCAACGAAGAATTCAATTAAAGTGGAAGTGTGCACAGGTTACAGCATCACTGACCTTTCAAGGAAAATACTCCTGCCACTTAATGGTTATGCAATCCTTCAATTTTCACATGTTCCAAAAATTCTGCTGTTGAAATCTTGTTATTGAAGATAGGGCCATTGAAAAAGTTGGCCATCACAGAGGGAGGAGGTGTGATAATGGCATACATACAGGCTACACACAATGAAACAACAGATCTTGAAAGAGGCTCAAATCCTGATACCATGTAATCCAAGCACATCCGGCCAATTGTTACAGGAAGTGGGTGTGAATACTGGTTTCTGAAATTTATAGAAATTGTTCAACACTGTCAGATGAACACTCAGTATTTGTGGTAAATGAGAATGGAGTAGGGAATGAAATGGGAGTGTGTTATTAACCTCTACCACAGTTTCTTCCTATTCTGTATTACTTTCATTACAGCAAATTCCTGAAAAGAGCTGGATTAAAATTCTAGGGAGCCTCTGAGGAAAACCGCCCCAGACCCTTGTTAGCTACCTGCCACTCTCTGTGCATTGTGAGCAGTTTTTAGATCTACCGTGTGTGTTTCTCCTTAGCAAGAAGTTCTGAGTTCTGCTTTGGGCACAGTTCTGGCTCTAGGCAGTAGAGAAATCAATATTAGTTTCTCTTCTACAATTGATCAAAAAGTACTGAGTTGTAGAATGTGGCTGCAAATCATTTTTCCTCCCCAAGGCTTCTTCTCTTTTATGATGCAGAGCAGAAACATGGAGGGAGAGATGGTGATACAAGAACTTTGAAGTTTAAAGGCACTGGCTGGATATTTTCTTCTGAGACTGACTGACAGTCTGCAAACTTCTATTTTGTCCCACAGGCTCAACACAGGTAACTCTTAGACTTAAAGATTTTATGAGCACTTCAGTTTTAAGGTTCTTTTTTGGAAATATGATATGCCAAAAAAAAGTCAATTTCATTTGTGTGTTAGGAGTGCTATAGCCTACATATTTGGGTTTCAAATCACATCTACAAGTGATTCAACTGTGAATGCAAGATTTAATAATCACACAAGGACAGATTTATTGTGCAAGGGATCCTTTCCCCAGAAGCATCACATTACCAGCTTCAAGTGATCTGGCAATATAAGTCGGTCACTTGGCTTACTGTCTCGTTGTTCTGGATTGAAATATCTCTACTGCTTCCTTATAAAGTACATCTTATTTTTACACAACTATAAAGTTATAGTCTTATTCTTAAACAATCATTAAAGTTGAAAATTACCTGCAACGGGCTAAAATAATAAAAGACTCAATTTCCCAGAAATTCTTTGCCCGTCGCGCTGAGGTCACGTGTATAAGCCGCTTGTAAACAGGATTCGCTTTTATTCTATATCCAGCGTACACCGAAAGCCGCGTGGTAGGCGGGGTTACGGCTCGATATTAAATAGAGCATGCACCCGTTGGACAACACAACCTCTAACTGTTTCTGGGTAAAAGCTGTACAGGTACGTAATAAATGAGTAGATAAATTACGATTTGTGGTTATTTCAGACTTGTCTTCTCAAATCAGGATATTTTTTGTAACATTTTCTAACAAACGTAACATTCGTAAGCTGCTGATTCATTGATGTTAGCTGTAGCAAATATGTGTCATTATTAGATTATTATTTTCTGTATACCTCTGGCTGTTGAGACCTTGGCTAACGTTAGCTTACGATCCGGCCCCTGTAAAAGTTTAACTAAACGGCTAACTTCTGTCCTACACCAAGCTCAGTTAGCAAACGGACTTTCAGGTACTCTGCCCTCCACTTGCAAGGAAAGGTAACTTGGGCAGAATTGCGGTCAGAAGCTACACTTTGACAGACTCTTCTATATTGATGTAGACTTAATTTACACCGCAGCATTGTGTGTTAGACTCTGTAGGCTTGTAAAAGGTTTGGTAACGCTCCTTGATGTCACTTTAGACTTTGTAAAAAATAAACTTGCTAACAGCTAACTTGTACTTTACCCCCTTTCAAAGTTGCCAAACGCTAAACCAACAAAATAAGCAATGGTATACCCCCGTCCTGGAGCTAAAAGTTAAAATCACTTCCTGGTTTCTATGTAAACATCTGAAGATTAAGATGCAGTTAAATTAAAAATAATTAATTATAACAGAATGGTGGCAGTAAAGTCGAGCATTAACACAAAATAACTAAATAAAAAAATCTAAAAAATGCTGAATGCCCTGATGAAACAAGCAGCTCTGTATGATGGTGTAAAACAGGACACAAGAAACTGTAGAGAAAATTGTTTCTATTTATAAAACAAACAATAGATTCACAACTAGGCACTAGACATAAAACCAGTCAACTAGGTAACACACAAAGCAACCACAAGAGGTTTGGAGGCCGAAGACAGAACGGTGCTGCAGCCATACTGTGATACTTGGCTATGAAATTCCTAATAGCATCACAGAATGTGACTGCCGCTAGTGTTGCATTCTGCTGAGAGTTTCTTTCTGATGTTCTCCTTATAGTCCTTTCATCATGGCACTGGCAGGAGTGAGGGTTATTGAGCTGGCGGGTCTGGCTCCAGCACCATTCTGTGGCATGATCCTGGCAGACTTCGGAGCCAAGGTGATTCGAGTGGACCGGACCAAGGTTGCCACAACTGTGGACACACAGGCCCGGGGAAAACGGTCTGTGGCCATCAACCTGAAGACCACCGAGGGTGTAGGCCTGCTCAGGAAGCTCTGTGTCCAGTCTGATGTGCTCCTGGAGCCTTATCGTAAAGGTCAGTCACCGGTGCTGTGTACGAGAGCCAAAGGCCTATGATTAAAATATCTAACTGTGAATGGACCTCAGAAGAAAATGTCTTTGTAAAAATCCTGCAAGACCATTTGATAAGAATGTCACAAACTTGAGAGGAAAAAAATGTAAATCATTCCATTTCAGGATCAAAAGTGCTAAGACCCCAGCCCAGGCATTCAACATAAGCAGACTGAAATTATAGATTGACTTCCTTGTGACCGCCCAGGTGTGATGGAGAAGCTGGGCCTCAGTCCGAAGGAGCTGTTAATGGAAAATCCTCGCCTAATTTACGCTCGGTTGACGGGGTACGGACAGAGCGGACCTTATGCTACTGCAGCAGGACATGACATCAATTACCTTGCCATGTCAGGTAATAAATAGCACATGTTTTTGGACTGAATACACAGATGTAATCTGCAGACAGAACAGCATTAAGTATTCATAAAGACATTGGAAAAGGAGAATTCACTTTTTCCTCTGGGCACTTGCATTTGGTTTGATCCAAATCCATCTACTGTTTTGTGACTTTGGAAACTGAAAGAAATGGCTGAATTCCTGCACACGGTCAACACCGAGAATGAGTTTATAATAAACCCAGTGCTGATTTTGTGCAGGATTAAACCTTTTCTTTCATATAATTTCATTTTACTGCTCACCTGTCTACCAGGTGTGCATCACACAATGTGCAGTGTGACCCTGTAAACGTGCATGAAAAACAGCATAACAGAGTTGGAGATGATCTAATTCAAACATTTGCAAGTAACTAAAGGCTAAAAGAAACACCTTTCTAAACACCTTCTGTTGTCTCAGAAGATATGTGTGTGTGTGTGTGTATGTGTATATATAAATATGTATAAAAAAAGTTTTTTGGCAGATTTCTCTTCAATCTGCTTTTGTCTAATCATTTCTGTCACAGGCCTTTTATCCTGACTGGGTCGCAGTGGAGAGAAACCCTACGCTCCATTGAACCTGTTAGCAGACTTTGCAGGTGGTAGTCTTACCTGTGCCCTGGGGATAGTCCTAGCGCTGCTGGAGAGGACAAAGTCAGGGAAAGGACAAATCATTGATGCTAGCATGGTAAGTACGTTGTCAGACCACAGTAAATGTACTCTGGGACCGAGTCAGTGTGACATCCTCGGGGCAGCTGTGGCTCAGGAGGTAGAACGGGTCGTTTCCAAACCGTGAGTGGTTCGATTCCCAGCTTGTCCAGTCAACATGTCGAATCTCTAAGGGCATTATGCTCTCTCTCAATAAATCATACTAACAAAATGATCTGTTAACATCAACACTCAAATAAAATACTGTACAATCATTTACAAAAAATGGAGCTTGAATCTGTATTTAATTGCAAGCAGTGGTGCAGAAACACTTGTTCTGGCCAGTGCTGGTTGTCAGTGGAGCACCATGTAATTGTGGTGAGCCACATCGCTGGTGCAGGAGCCAGCTGCAATCACAGGCATCAGTATCAACCATGATGCATCAGGACCGAGCCCATCAGTCCAAAGCATGTAATCAATCATACTATTACTATCCATCCATTCACCCATTTTGATGGTTGTGTGGGTTGGAGCCAATCCCAGCATGCATTGCACTGGGTGGAAAGCAGGGGGCAGTTGACATTAAATGGGTTGTCAGTGTAACACAAGGCTGACACACTTAGATTCACACCTTAGAGGTGATTTATTGGGGTGTTTAAAGTGGATATTATTCATCGATTTGTAATGACAGTATATCAAATGACAATGTGACACATCCTGTTGCTTGTAATAAGGGGCCTTTCACCAAAGAGAAGGCAGGGTATTAATTCAGTTTGTCAACACTCGCCCTCTGTTTGTGGCCTTGTATTGCTTTTTAGTTGACAAATGCATATTTTATGACCACACATCCCAGGTCACCCACAGACTCCACATCTCATGCATAAGAATTAGATGTTGCACAGAATAAAAGCATTGAAGACCTGACCAGTGATAGAGCTGTTCTCTGTGATTAGTTCTCAATGACTCACACAGCAACAGTTTGGTAGAAAATAGTTGAGCCTTTTTAGAGAAGTCCTGTGTACACACAGTACATCGTGTTACTTCTTCAGGTGCTCACATGAAGGACTTCTCAGAAGCAGCACACACTTCAATAGAGGTTACACTTCAATAGAGGTTACACTGACTGCATTGATTGCAATCAGCACTAACCCCATATCCTGTTATTTTCATCCAGAACATGGTGCTTTGAATTAATGTAGTTGTCCTTTTTATTTTTAACGTGACTGGAGTAATTATGTGTTAAATGGATATTAACCCTTCTGACCTTGTTCTCCCTTTCTCTGCCTCTCTCGTACATCCTCAGGTGGAAGGAGCAGCCTATATGGGTTCATTTCTTTGGAAGTCACATTGTCTCGGTTTGTGGGACCGTCCTAGGGGCGAGAACATGCTGGACAGTGGGGCACCCTTCTATGATACCTACCAGACTTCAGATGGAAAGTACATGGCTGTGGGCGCTCTGGAGCCACAGTTCTATAGACAACTACTTAAAGGTTTGTACTGTGTGAGCTTTTAAGCTTTTAGTTGAAATAAACCTCTAGGACAGTGGCCACTAAGGTCACATATGCCGTTCCATGCCATCAACAGTAGTAGATCCCTGGGGAAACTAAGGTACAGCGAGGGTCCAGCGTGAAAACGCCCTCTCAACACCAATCTGTGAAAGAGGCTGCATCCATAATCTGTGCAAGTTGTAATGGGGCTAAGAATAATACGGATATGCAAAGTGATAGCTGAGCGATGGCAGTGATTCAAGATAATATCGCTGACAAATACAATGCATATTCTGTCTCGTTGTGATATGCTTATGGAAAGCCTTTAATTATTTTTACAATCTATATACGTATTTTGCATGTACATAACTAGAAATGAATCAGAAATGCTGCTACATGCATCAGACATTCACTGTACATGTATGCATTAACAGCTACAAATAGAGCTACCACAGCGTCTTCTGCATTTGTTATTCATCTCACACCTTATGCCTCCTTTCCTCACCTGGCATGTGATGTCATCCAAGAATGAAATCAGTGCAATATGGTCCAGTTAATGGTATATAGTTTAAACTGTTCAAGTCCAAAAACATTACATGACATTACTGTAAATAATCAAACTGCATTTTGCTATATCCTGCTACTTCTAAAAAATAATAATTGAAATCTATATTAAAATGGACTAGAAATGCACAGCTGTGGTTAAGTTGGAGGGAGATGATCTGGTCCACACTGACTGCTGTTGTGCTCACTGTGAAGACTTGAGAAAGAGATGTGTGTAAGCAGTTGTTTAAAAAAAAAAACAAAAAAACAAAGTACACTTTTGGCTGTTGGGTTACACAAGTCCTTTTCCTCCTAGGCTTAGAGTTGGACATCCAGGAGCTGCCCCCTCAGATGAGCTTCAGTGACTGGCCACAGCTGAAGCGGCTCTTTACAGAGCGTTTTGCCACCAAAACCCAGGCAGACTGGTCAAGGATTTTTGATGGGACTGATGCCTGCGTTACACCTGTGTTGTCTTTCAACCAGGTGAGCTCACACCCACATAACCAGGAAAGAGCTTCTTTCATGAGGGACTCCAGTGGGGAAGAGAGCCCCCGGCCTGCCCCGGTTCTCTCTCGGACTCCTGCGGAGCCTTGCCTCACCTCCGATCCTGTTATTGGAGAAAACACAGTTGAGGTCCTAGAGGAGTACGGCTTTACATCAGCAGAGATAGACCAGATGCTAGCAGCAGGGGTCATAGAGTGTAATGCTGTCAAGGCAAAACTGTAGAGGAGTCAGAATCTGGTTTGAAAATTCACACCCGCTCCACCTTTCAGTGAAGATTTGGGGCAGAACACATTCATGAGGTCATAAGTTGTGCTCTGGACATAACTGACATTAACAACCGATTTGGACAAACAACAAAATAAAATAAAACTAATCAGTGTAACCTGTGAAGTATTTGGTGAAACTGATAGGAACTCCGGGCTTACCTCTGGCCAAGCATCTTCCCTCATTAAGTACAATGGGACATAAAACTCTGACGCTCACATAACAAAGTGCAAAGAGGGGTTACAACCAAGTGTGATCGCTCATTCATGCTCATGTTGACTGAAGAAAAAATAGACTGAGCCTCACTCCAACAGTGGGCAGGACACTGCTGTTCTGCTGGGACTGACAGTTAATGGCTGTGCTATAAATTAACAGTATGAACGATCACAAGAGATTCAAGGGAATACATCAGCCTTGTGGTAAATTCATGCAGTCTTTGCACTGCCACCAGAAACCGTCCCTTCTCAGGCCAGCTGGCCAGCTGTTGGCCCGAGCTGCCTGGACCCATGACGCATCATGGTGTCTTCTTCTGTGAGACAAGAACAGACATCAACAGCAGGTGCACAACAGAGCAAACATGATTTGACAAACATAGCTGCAGTACTGGCTTCCTTTTATTTTTTTCATTATGTGCTACCATCTCCTGTTGTCGCTCTCTTTTTTTTTTTTTTTTTTTAAAGGGCGCTGGTCTCTCTCACTCTGGCTAACACACTTCCTGTTGTTTTCTCTCTGCCAATCATAATGTAGTGAGGCAGATAGCTGGGTTGAAGGCAAAGTAGCATGCTTTGAGACTTGCTTCTGAGCAGGGCCATATACGTATCTCACTTGTCAGCTCGGTTTCAGCCCGGGCATGGCCTGTGTCCAAGACAGTCGAAACATGTGAACCCTGGTACGGAACGGGTCCTGGTGACTGTGCAAAGATAGTATTGGTCTAAGTATCTGGCCCGGTTCCATACCCAAAGTCCATTGAACAGTGGAAAGTGAGCTATCGTGAGCCAGTTACTTTGTGCCCACTTATTGCGCGACAAAGACACAGCAGCCAGAGTTGCGTCTCAAGGGGCAATGTTAATCCTAATGTATGTTACAGAGCATGTTTTCAACAAGATCTGTTACCATTCTCTGGATCACTGTCATCTCAGTAACTGAGATCAGCTGGCTTCATGGGGTAAAGCCACGCCTCTTCTTGCTTTGCATGTACCTATATCACCGAAAGCAACAACAGAAGCCAGTGGAGACATATTAAAGGATTCCAATACTTTGTATCCATGAGACAATGCTAGACGTGACATCGATGAATGAGAAATAATTTACCAATATTATTGTAAAGAGCCCAGCACAGAGCAACACAGTCCCAGCTGGTTGATGGTACAATCTGCTCAGGCCAGCTCTGAAAGAAATAAAGAATTAATTATCAACCATTTTTTGTCCTGTAACTTCTAACAACAATGGTCAATAGTGAACTTCATGTCCCACTGTGGCTATGTTTGAAAATATCTATAGCAGGTATACTGTACAACAACCCCTTGATTAACAACATATGACTGTGGCACTTTATTCCCAGTACAACATGAACTTTGTCAGTTATTCTATTAATCATTCACCAACTTTTGGTAGAATTTATGATATTTTAGTAATATCCTGCGACATGTTTATACAGAGCTTCAACTGTTAACAGTTGTCACAAATTTTGATAATCATTTAAGTAATATTTTAAATGATAATTATCCTTGTGATTTTTTTGTTCTTACTGTTTTTTGATAGTTGGCTGAAAATGCTGTATTTGTGTACCATTGCTCTGACCCCCACCATGAGGTCTGGAAACTTGTGATGGGTGTCTTTCACAATTTGTTGTCATTTTATGAGTAAAATGATTAATAGATTATCAAATAATGAAATAAATTGTTAGTTGCATCACAATTTTCAAAGACATTTTAGTTGGTTAGTTATCCCAGCCTATCATTTAAACTGCTTATTAAGCAGGTGTCTGTCCATAGCAGAAGTTTGTTTCCAATTATGACTATAGATAAATTAATTATTTCTCTATTTTTACATAAAAGCTTAAATGTTAAAGTAACGTCCGAGTGTTACGAACCTAAATACTGTTAATGTTACACAGCGAAGTGGAAACGTGTAAACAGGTGGCGTTAACTTTTCATGCAAACGTTTAAATTATCCATCGCGCAAGAATACTATTTTACAAGTACTGTGTAATATCACATAGTTAAGTACTGCTATTGGGAAATTATATAGTGCTAATAAAGTCACAACATACTTAACCGTGTTGTCGTCGCAGCGCCTTTTCAACACAGTAAACTTGTTGTACAACTACGGAGGCCGAGAGAGACCAAGATTTCCCCTTTGCGACCACGCAATTGAGTAAAACATTTTTTTTTTTTTTACAGTATATATTGTACATACAATATTTTCTATATTGTTAGTCGGTGACATCCTTAAAGGTCTCCAATAGGCTAGTGGTCCCATCATTTTTCCATGTTTTGCTTTACCTCTACACATTGGGTTATAACAATACTACAGTGAAGAAATGTTCACATTTACCACTTCCTGAGTCCTGACAATCAGCTGAAATCATGTGATATGAAACAATTTATTAATGTGACAAGACAGAACTGATAAGAACCAAAACCATTAAAAATGGTTTGTATCAGTCTAAATTCAATTTGTCTGTTGGCCATACATAACAAGCAGTTTTAAGATGTGATGTTATAAAGGGCATTTTTAATAATTAGGTGACTGAAAACATGTTTAGACATTTACTGTATATATAGTGTTGGAAATAACACAAAAATAGTGACCAATCATGTGAAGGATTTTAGTTATGTGCATTATATTCAACGTCCTGTGTGACTGTGAATGCAACACTAAGACAAAATGCTGTCTACTATTAATAGCCCATGTAAACAGTCACGTTACCTCAGTGGTGCACAAGTTAAATGTGGACACGCCTGCTGCAACATGATGCATCATGGAGTTTATTAAAAAAAGTTTAGAGAATTTCATATGTTAGACACAGGATCCAGTAACACGCACTGCTTCAATCTCAACTATTGATGGTCAGATGACCCTTTGGGGCTTTATTTTTGTTTGTTCCAAGAAAGATTCAAAGCTTCCGGGCATCAAATAAAGCAACATGGTGACATCTGGTGTTTGCAAAACTTAAAGCAACTCTTCCAGTCTTGGTCCAAATCACAACAACATATCACAGATTTAGAACAGTTTGTCTCATATGTAGAATAAGTCTGGATGTCTTTAGTGTACATTGACATATTCCTCAATTATTCTCATTTCCTCTTATCCTACTAATGAAGTGCTGAAGCTTCAGACATCATCAGTCACATTCTTTATTTGACAGTGTGCTGAAACAAGGGTGCAGCAGACAGTCTTGAATTTTTAAAATGCATTTTTAATGTCTCTTATGGAGCATACTAAGTCATGAGCTTTGTGCATGATATTTTATATGGCCATTATATGTTTTGTGGAAGGTGCCAACAGGCTATAAATCCGCTCCATCCGTCTCCTTTTGTCTTTGGCACGGTTGATGGTCATCTTGAATAAGCGACAATACAGCTCCATGGCAGCTGGAGTGTCATCATTCCCAGGCACAGGGTACGTCACCAGGCTGGGGTTGCAGTTTGAGTCCACCACTCCCACTGTGGGAATGTTCAGCTTGGCTGCGTCTCTGATTCCCACATGCTGCTGAAACACATTGTTGAGAGTGGATAGGAAGATGATGAGGTCTGGTAAGCGGACTCCTGGGCCGTACTGTACGGGCGCGTTGGTAAGGAGGCCACCCTGCCAGTACCGTGCATGGGCGTACTCCCCACAATCCTTGGCTGTGCACTCCACTAGGTGACTGAACTGACGTCGGCGGCTAACAAACAGTATGATGCCACCACGATATGCTATGTGGGCTGTGAAGTTCAGGGCTTGCTGAAGGTGTTCCACAGTCTGGTCGAGATCAATTATATCTTGGTCCAAACGGCAGCCATAAAGGTAAGGCTCCATGAGCCTAAAACAAACAAACAAATAAAGTGTTAAAAATTAAAATGGAAATTTGATACCTTCCACCTAGTGGTACATAAAATAATGTGTGCAATGTTGTGGATATTACTCTCTGATTTGTCACCAGTCATTACCAGCTCAAACAATCCTGTTCTGCTTTGTTCCTTGACTGTGGTGAGCTAATGCTGATACTAAATTAAAAGCGTGTTTTCTCTGCATTGATGATTTGCAGAAGTGTGTATAGTATATTTTGAGAACGTGATAGTGCAAATCTCTGACTGTTTCTGAGCAGCGACGCTGATTTGTTACACATTGTGACGAGATGATACCAACCTGTGCCTGCAACCTTTTTTATGACCAAGATGCACTCTGGCGTCAAATAGGTCTTTCAACGAGAAGAGCTCTGACACACGGAAAAAGTCCGGATTCTCAAGAGGCTCGTTTAATATTTTCTCTGCATAGAGGAGAAATAATATTGATGAAAGAAAACAGTACTATTTAACGCTAAGCTACATCTCTGCTACGTTAGCTCACCCGTAACAATGTCATTTTCCGGTTGAGCTGAATGGACGGGCGCTGCAGTTGCATACTGGTGTCCACCGCAGAAGAATCTGATGGGAACAACTCGTGAGAGTCGTAGCCCCAAAAATCCTAAACAAGGGACATAAATATAGTTCAAAACACTGGGCATTAACTTGTAACAAACAAGTACTGCTAGCTACCCAGCTAGTTAGGCACTGGCTGTAGCTAAAAACTACATAGCTAGTATGCCAGTCAAAGCAATGCCACAACTGTATTAGCTAGTAAACTATATTTTTTAACACACACTCAAAAAAAAAAAATCCACAAACAATGTTACTTTTTTGGAAGAAAAAAAAAACAGCTTATATTCTAATACCTTTCGCCAATGCCCGGGTCGCCATGCTTGCTTCACTACCACGGAAGGTCAGTAAACCGCGACTCCGTGTGTAGTTCTAGGGATGCCGTAAAGTAATAGTTCTGTCGTGACATTTTTTTTTTTTTTAAATAAGAGACTACAATACCCAAGATGCTAAAGTATAGTTTGGTTATTTCACAACAATAATTAAAAACACAGATAACATCGCCGACAGTACAATCGTCATATAATTAGCCATAAAATATAAACGTAGATCAAATGGGTAGCTCATTCACTGCTGTTTGGCCAATTGGCATCTGTGTTTGAATTTACACACTTAAATAGTATTTGCTAGTATAACTGAGAAATTACTTCCTCGAGGTAGTAGTTTATTTAATAATTTCTCTTAGGTTGGTAACGTGCTCCACTGCCCTGTTTCCCTTCAAGGACAGATGTTGGAGTTTTGAAAGCACCTAAAGGGCAGAGGTCAGAGTGTTTAAAGCACCTATAGATGTGAACAGTAGCACTTATGGTTTGTCTATGTTAAACTTAAAGTGTTGTAATTTGCTCTGTAATGATGGGCTGTTTGTGATTCCCAGCGTGGTCACAAGTCATCTACTTGTCACTAAGCAAACTGTGGATGATACAGTGGTGTGTAACAACCCTTTACAGGCTAGCATCTTTCTCACTGTGTGCAGCTGTTTGTCTAGTTACCTCCCCTCTTAACAAAGCTGTTCCCTCCATCTAACATTAACACATTGTTCGCCCAGCCACGGTTCACCTGTTCAAGGATGCACTGCATCTAGAGCTGTGTAAGATATGTGAGGAATGTCTGTGTTGTGACTTCGAGCACCTGACTAACCATGCAAGGCCAAACACAGGGCAACCACTGCATAAGCATGTAGCATGAGATACTGTATGTGCAAGCTTTAAACATGGTTTAACATAGTATACATACGCTGAATACTGCAGAGGTGTTATGTGCTTATGGAAGTGTATTCAAATGGAGGACATATTTGCCATTTTCTGATTATAAGTGACAGACAAAACTGTTACTTACTGTGTAGAAAATCACTTTAAATATGGAGCAAGGCATTGTATGTTTCCAATCTGTTAATTATTGTTTTTCAATTAATCAAATAGTTTTGTCTATAAAATGGCATTCAGAAAGTAGAAATGCCTATTTATATCCATCTATTTATTATACTTTCCTAGAGCCCTACAATTCCTTACCATCAGACCAAAACCCATAAGTGTTGAGATTACTATAACATATTAAAAATTAAATCAGCCCATTTTTGCCATCGTATTCATTACCAGAATTGTTCTGTAATCCTCTGTCCAGTTATCTAGTCCAGTTCTGATAGAACACCATCCATTGCTCCATTATATGAGATTTTATGTTGTTTGCTATGATGATAGGAGGATCAGAAACAGTCAAATCTGGGAGATGGTGGCACATGTTGACCTGCATATGCACTGTATGTTCCCATACTGTCGTGTGTGCATGTATACAGGCAAATCATTCTGTTTGCACCTTGCACAATCTCAGAGGCAATGAATGTTGCTTGTCTTTAATGAAAATGACATTTTCCTTCTGCCCTTAAAGTACTGTTTGAGTTGGTGAAGTACTTGTTAGAGGTGCTGATTGGAAGATTTTATTATCGTTGGACAGGGCTGGGCACACCGTTACCCCCTATTTGCAGTCTTTATACTAAGCTAAGACAACTTGTTGCTGATTGTAGCTTCATATTGACAAATAACCCTTGTTACAGCAAACATCACATTCACTCACATGCACTTCTTTAATCACACACACTCCCATGAACTGCCCTGGGCCTTACAATGCTTTAAAGAAGGGGAAGAGACCTCCAGCAATCTGGTAAATACACCCACTTGTTTCTCTCCTCCCCTCCTCTATTCTTCATTGAGTCCTGATCTGCTCGGCTCAGACCAGGAGGCAGACCTTCACATGAAAAGTTGTGTGGATCTTGGACTCATTACTCAGCTATGCATTAGAGAAGAGGATTAACCCAAGCTGAGCACCACTGCAAAGACTGGGCATTTGGCCATTCATCCATCACCTGGCTTACTGAGAGAGAAGCTACCGTACATCTTTTTTTTACCTAAAATTCCTCCTCACTGACCTGTCAGTTTTTCTGTCTCCCTTTCTCCTTGTATCCCTCTTTCCGCTCTCTCAACCATGACCCTTTTATCAGAGGACCAGTCTGTGAGGGCCCAACCTTGCCGGCTTCCAGAGCCTGACAAACACAACAGCACTTCCTTGTCACAACACATAAATGGCTACACTGGTTCCAAAGAGGACGGAACTGACAGTGGGGAGAGTGCTGTGTTTGGAGTTGTAGAGCTCCCCAGGCGCTCATGGGGCCGCCTCATCCTTCATGGCCTGGTCATGTTTGGAAGGGAATTCTGCTATGCCGTGGAGGCAGCATTCGTCACACCAGTGCTTCTAAGTGTGGGCCTTCCCCGCAGCCTGTACAGCATGGTGTGGTTGATCAGCCCCATCCTGGGCTTCCTGCTGCAGCCCGTCATCGGCTTAGCCAGCGACCAATGTCGCTCGGTGTGGGGCAGACGGAGGCCTTACATCCTGGCCCTGGGCATCCTCATGCTGCTGGGAATGACCCTGTTCCTCAATGGAGATGCTATCGTCTCAGGTGAGGGGGATTCAAGGAGATTTTTAGTTTTGTCATATCAAAAAGTGATGTCTTGTTTTTTCTGTCTCACAGAAAAAGAAATCTGACAGCACCTTGGTCTCATTGTTATGAGTCTCATGCTTAGAAATACACAGAAGATTAAATGTCTTATCTTGTAAAACTCAACAAATACATGGCAAACAAGGCCAAGGTTCAATCTTGATGTGTCTGTCAGGATATGAGCACTAATTGTTCCCATCCTCATGATCTTGCCACATAATTTTCACAGTGATACAAGGATAAAAACTTTTTTTTTTGCCTTCAGTTTTTCTCTTCTCTCTTGGACTTTTACAGATTCAAGCTCGAACTGTATCAGTTTTACTGCTCACTCACCGATTTTGGGGAAAAAGCAACATATTCATCAGAAATGAAAAAGAAAATCCTATTAAATGTGTTGCATAAGGTTATAGCTTGTGACTGAGATGAAATGTGTGGCTTGTTAGGCTGATCCTGAGCTGTTGCCCGCTGGCGCAGACAGATGATGAGGCATTACTGAGAAAATGTAATTGCATATTTAGTTTGAAGCAGGAAACGTCTGATAGCATTGAGACTATTTGATTGGAATGCACTGGGCTCCAGGCTGCATCACGAGAAGACTTCAGCCCAAAAGAAGCTGTTGATATTTATGTGAATAAAAAGATGAGCCCTTTCTCTGGACTTGAACTGAGCAGCTCCACTGCATCAGTGAAGGGGAACTTCTAAATAGTGGGGACTGTAATGCATAATTTTCAATACCTCCGCCAAATCTGTGAATTGGAGGATAATTACACTAATCATTGTTCATGGTATTGAAAACAAGAAAGCAACCTGCTCCACATCTTAGCAAACACACAGATGGTCATGTTAATTTTGAGGTGGGTGCTTGATTTTTATAATGAAACCACAATTTTACAAGAGAAATGGCAATACAATGTGCATTTATAGTGCATATTTCAAATCTGAGGCAAAGATCAAAAGAAAATCACAAATCAACTTTTTTTTAAATGCTGACCTAATGAAAAGGTTCAGGGCTTTGTTGTAATTGTCATATGGACTACAAAGTGTTTCTGACTTATGTATGTTGGATAAGCTGATTATATTTGCATGTTTTCTAGTAAATGTAACAGGAAGTATGTGAGAGAATGTTTGCATTGTTGTACCTGCCCTCACTTTAAAGAAGATGTGCTTCACACTGTAACAATGCAGTGTGACAGGTGTAATGTTCTGTTTATGACATTTCTCTCTCTACAGTATTTTGAAGCTTGCATTATATTGTTCATCACTTGATAATCATAAGATCCACTTCATTATGTTTTCATTACATGTGTGTGGCTTCAGATTAGCTTTGTTTAGCAACCTTCATCTCTTTTGAAGAGAACACAGAACAAACATTTGGGTTTTTTATTGTCTTTATTTCTGACAAGCTCTAAGCGACTTTGAGTGTTTTTTTTAACTTGTTTGCAAATTTGACACTTCAAATTCACATAAATGTACTTTTTTACTCTGAAGCTGACAGCATGAAATGTACATGCTGCAGTGTTTCATTAGTGATGAGATGTTCTGTTCTGTTTTGCAGCACTAGTCAATGACAGGTCGCTGAGGACACTATGGGCCATAGTGGTGGTGATGTTTGGAGTCGTGGTGTTCGACTTTGCCGCAGACTTCATCGACGGGCCCATCAAGGCCTACCTGTTTGATGTGTGCTCACATCAAGACAAAGAACGAGGTCTCCACTATCACGCTCTACTCACAGGTTCGTAATACAAACACACACTTTTGTTGTTCTTGCTTCACTGGCTTTGTGTTTATTGTTTGCTTATTTCTGTAATAAATCTCTTCTTCCTGTTTGTTGCCAGCGTGCATCTTGACTGATTTGCTTTGAAATAATTAACATTAATTATTTGTTCAGTGAGAGTTTGAGTGGTAATAGCTGCCTCACTTTAGGCACTTTGTAGCTGAGCAAATCATACAACACATACAGTGCTTATGGTGCATGGCAGTGTACAGCTTAGTATAAAGACTGGAAACAGATTATGAGCCATTAGTTTCTAGCCAGAGGTTTTCAGTTGATTTTGTTAAAGCTTAAACAGTGTGTTCCTGAGCCACATTGATACACAGACATGGTTTGGATTGCTGTCGTGTTAGATTAACTCAGCTGCACTTTACCTTCAGGTCTGTAACACATGGAGCAAATGATGGCAAGTCATTTCAGTTTACATGCAGCAAAGGATCTCCAAAGGCTCTTGCTACAGTATGAAAAGAAATGTAAGGTTTCCAGCCTATTCTAGATGTAGACTGATATCAGTGGTAGCTATTTGCTGAGCAGGAAGTGCTAAATGTAGCTGAAGCGATCAAGGGTGCACTTTTTTGACATCTCGGAAAATCGAACACCTTGTTCTTAAAGAGATTTTTGGGTGATCACTGATGGACGCAATGAAGCCAGTTATTTTTTTTAGCCATTTGAGCAGACACATCTGGTAGAACCCTCAAACGTTATGCTCTATTGAAAGTGTAAAGTCACTGTTTTCCATGTTGTGAATTTACAGCAAGTGTAAATTCAAATTTCCATCTAAAATTATATACATGCATTTTTCTTGACAGGTGTTCAGAGTGAATGTAGGTCATGTTGTGCCTTGATTGTAAAGTATAGTTTTTGCAGTATTTACACATGTGCTGAGATACAGTATGTATTAAAAAGCTGCTCATCTTTTTCATTTTCTAACATTTCTACATGGCAGAGGGTTTTGAGGATCCTTGTTTTGATTTGTCAGCATTATGTTCTGTCCCCCTCGTGCGTCACTATGCTGCCTTGCACCTCGTCCTTACAACATCCAAATCAGTCCACATTTGATACATGTACAATTAATCTTACCTTTACTTTGGGTGAGTTACAGCTGATGATCACATTCTTTGCTACTTCACACAGCATACATGTGGGAAAAGTCATGGCATTATTTTTCTTTCACACTCTGTAAAGTACCATAACATAAAAAAGTATTTATTTTTGTTCTTTATTTGGGGACAAGATGATGCTTTTGGTGTGAATGTCAGTGGTGTGCTCAGCTGTCAGCGGGTACTGGATGGTATGCTATTCAGTCATTAATCCTGCCCCGAGCTAGTCACGTGCTACAGCCACCGATCTGGATAAGAGAGACAGCACCAGGCACATGACTCTTCAGATACCCCGCTGGAGCTGTTATGGGAGGTTTGAGTAGGAGGGAGCATAAATTGTTGTGTGTTTCTCTGCGAGTCATGCACTTTTTGTATGACCTTTTGTAATTTCATCAACTTATGTTTCATGGCTTCTGCTTGTGTGAGGGAGTGGGCAACGGTTTTAGTTTTCTTCTGAACAGAACACATGACTTATTTTCTCACAGACCACATAAGTCGTCACTGATGAGTGATTTTCCTCATTCATGCCGAGGTTCGTCACTTTAGTCCAGACTAAAAACCTGGCGCTAATGTTTTTTTATTTACTGTACATCTAATCACATAGATTCTGGTTGGCATATGATGTTTTCCAACAAACATCATTATTGTTTCTATCAGTTCTGAGTGTAAACAAGGGAAAATGTGTCATTCATTGTGATCAACATGCAGAAAATTATGACCTGAATATTACTCCTTAAAATTACTGCACTTTTCTATCAACATGCAGTCTAAATTTCTGCTGCTGTGTATCCCAGGTCTGGGCGGAGCGTGTGGCTACCTGGTAGGAGCCATAGACTGGGGACATTCTGTGATGGGTCAGCTGCTGGGCTCTGAGTACCATGTCATCTACTTCTTCTCAGCACTGACTTGGGGCATCTTGCTCATTGTGCACCTCTTCAGTATTCCAGAGCAGCCTCTGGGCAAGGACCCATCTGTCTCCTCACCTCCCAGTGCCCTCCATCTACTGGGCTCTCACAGCAGTGGTTATGGAACACTGGCTAAAGAGCCGGCCTCTCCTGTAGCACCTGTCACAGACCTCAGGCCGAGGTCTTTCTCGGCTCTTGGGGAGACTAACTCGGTAATCTCCGGCACCAAGCAGCCAGACAAGGAGGTATGTGATGTGCAGCATGCATACTGCATTAGGATGCAGCTTCTTCCCATGTGTGAATAGCATAAGTGGAATATATATTGGATTTATTTATTTATTGGCCCATCTCTTTGCTTAACCACTCATCCTGCTCAAAGGTCTGTGGCAACCTAACCAAGCTTTAAAGTTAATGTTTATAAAATGCTAAAGCATGTGAAGTATTTTCATTTGATCTCACAGTGCAGCCATAATAGTAGTGTGATGTAATGTAGCTGTGACAAGCACTAATCTCAGCTTGGCACTGGAGACGGCAGATAATGAATACAATACATACTGTGTGGACACATCTGCACACCATGTATGTCCTCACAAAAGGTTGGTGCCAGTTTCACCGTTTCTTTTCACAGATTCATTTCCACATGACTCGATTTCTTGCATTATGCACTGAAATCAGTCAGTACTGATAAATTCATTTTTGGTCCTATAAACTGTGGGCATCAATCAATAAAACAAACCACCCCAGCTGAGCTGACCTCTGGTTGTGTTTATCAACTAATGAATAAGAAGAGAATCTATCCAACGAGTTTGTATTATCTTCTTAAAATCCACTTTTGTGGCTTCTTAAGAGTGTAAAAACCTTTTGATTAATAATTTCTTCATATTTGGCACAAATGTCAACTTGGACTCAAAGCTCTCTATCAGCCCTCTGTAAAAATAAGTGAAGACAGCGAGTTTCTCATTTCTTTTTCATTTATAAAAGCAAAAATTGTCGGTTTAATGTCCTGCTTTTGAAGTGTTATCTAAAGCAAAATCATGTCAATGTAGGGTGATATATGCTATGAGCTTGGTCTTTTCTTTTATAACCCTTGAGCAGAGCCCTTATATGATTTCTCTGACATCTTTATGTTGATTCTCTTCATTTATTCTAATTAGGAGCTTTATGGTGCAGACATGTTTTTTTTTTTGAAGCTTTTGATCTGTCATCAGTCGTGGGCTTTAGCACCACTAGCACCGAAATGCCAAGCGAGTAATGGGTGCTATGACTCTTGTCAGTGTAGCTGTTGGCACTGATGTCTGTGATGTCTTTGTGTGTGCAGGTCCAGAAGAGGATGACGCTGAGGTCGCTGATGAAAGCTTTCATTGACATGCCAAACCACTACCGTTGCCTGTGTGTCAGTCACCTGCTGGGATGGACAGCTTTCCTCTGCAATATGCTCTTCTTCACAGATTTTATGGGACAGGTATTGATTTGTGTGTCAGCATATGAACGCTGTTCACGTAGGCTTGACTCTATGCATTTCAAACAGTCACAGCATGACAAACCTAACCAAATTGTGATTAAGAACATTTAAATGTCTCAATTTAATTGCAGTTCCCCATCACTGTGTCCTCGTTGTGTGTGAATAGCATCTAATCTTTGCCTATTTTCCATCAGTGCTACAGATTTGAACTAAATTGCAGTGATTAGTGCCATTTTTACTCAGTTCACTGTGTTGCTGACATCATTTCTGCAATGTTGGTCAGACAAAACAAGATGTTTCAAAATATTATCTTGAGCTACTGGAAACTGTAATAGGCCTTTTCATGTTAATTTTTATAACAGATCAGAACAGATCTACCATAAAAGATGAAGAACACACTGCAATATGAATGTGCATTCAAGCTCCATTAGTCCCTGTTCATGTGGGGGAAGCTGAAGATTGAGATGGGGGAGAAGTCTGTATTTACTAGTAATCTGCTAATAATGATGCTTTATAGTTTCATGGAGTGCACGCTCATCAGGGGATGCGCTTCATATCATGATACCACCAGCACAGCTCATTAAGAGCCGATGCATGTAATCTAAATTTGCAGCCATCATTATCAGGGATAAGAAAAGCAGAGTCATTGTCTCCGTATTGAGCTCAAGCACATTAGCCTTTTTATTAATGTTTTATTTTAAAAGCCTGTACTGAAAAAAGAAGAGACTTAGAAATCGCAGAGGAGTAAAAGAGGGAGAACATTTTATTACAGTAATCATATATATTTTTTTAATTTTTGTTATTCTTTTTTTTACAATAAAGATTACTGGAGCGCATGAGCTGCTGCACAAACATTTCTGCTGGAGCACATTTTCAAAAGATGTATAGACCCATTTCTGGTCTTTTCTTTAATCTTAATTGTAGTGTGGGTATAATTGACTGCCCCTCTTATATCATTTATATTTCTCCTACACATCACAGCAACATTTACAAACGAGTGAAATTACAACATGCATTTTACATTAAACAGTAATTATGAGGTGTGTGGGCTGTTAAACTGTGCGGGCGTTTTCTTTTTTTAACATTTTAATTACGCAGTAAGAACAAGGCTGTAAACATCATTTTCTCCAAGCTCCAGTTTTGTTTCCCAGTTCTGTACCACTTACAAACATTCTTAGGAATAAAATGTATTTCCTTTGCTTAACAAATCCCAACTGTTGGTCCTTTGTTCCCAATAGTGTTGTTTTCTTTTCATTTCAGTAAAAACCAGTAATTTTTTATTTTTTTGCTGCTTGGTTCACACTAAATTCACAGGTTGTATTCTAAAGTATTATCACTGTTTCTCCTCCTGGACATGATACATAGTGTATTTCACAGCCTCTTCCTCAAATTTCTTTTCCTCTTGTTTCCAGATTGTATACAAAGGAAATCCTTATGCAGCCCATAACTCCACAGCCTACGCCACATATGAGAGAGGAGTAGAAGTGGGCTGCTGGGGACTGTGTATTAATGCTGTTTCCTCTGCTCTCTACTCCTGTAAGTAC